CCACCTCCCCACTCCGTGCCCTCAGCAGCCTTTCCTTCTCTGGCAGTGACACGCCACAACCACCTGAAGGACTTCATGCTGGTGGTGTCCATCGTCATCGGGGTGGGCGGCTGCTGGTTTGCCTACATCCAGAACCGTTACTCCAAGGAGCACATGAAGAAGATGATGAAGGACCTGGAGGGCCTCCACAGGGCTGAGCAGTCCCTCCACGACCTGCAGGAGAGGTAAGAGCTGCGTGGCCCCCATCGGCTGCTGGCTTTGCTGCTGGTTGTTCCTCATTGGGATCTCCCAGCTCATTCTCTTTGCAGCTCTCCCCCTCAGTGCAGTGTGGGTACCCTGAGCTGCCTGGTCTGTGCTACCCAGGATATAGCAGGGGGTTGAAACTTGATGATCATTGTGGTCCTTTTCAACCCAGGCCATTCTATTATTGCATGACTTCTCCCAAACACACAGAACTGTAACGCAGATCTGTACCTCTCTGGATAAAAGAGCCTCTTAAAGGATGGGAAGTAACCCAGTTTGCTTGTTGTCATCTGGGAAGGCTGCTGCCCTGCCTGGCAGCCCCTTGGGAGCCATCCATGCATGGGAGGTGTTGAAAAGCTTTTCTGTGATCACATCAGTTGGTATCTGCATGATGAGAGGGCACTTAGAAGTGCACCAGGCTGGCGGTGCCCAGCGCAGCACATCCACGTCAGCACTGCAGATGTGTGACCTGCTTTCTTTTGGACTTGAAGGGTTTTCCTGTCTGCCTGCCAAGGGAGCAGGCTGTAATCCACAGCTCATTTCACACGGCTTTGTGGAGTTCTCCATCACAGCCAGGACATAACCTGGAGAACCAGGGAACCTCTGGGTGTGCAGCTCCTGCAGCCGCCGCTCGCAGCGGTGCTCATCCATGGCACTGTGCAGGACAGGGGATGGGCAGGGCTGTGCTGGGGGGGCACCTGGGAAGGAGCAGCTGGGCCTGGGGAGCTGAACCTGAGCTCAGAACCAGGTGAGGAGGCCCCAACCTAAGCACAGAATCACAGAGGTGCAGGGGTTGGAGGGGTTGGAAGAACCTCCCTCGCCCTGCTGGCCACGCTCCGTGCAATGCAGCCCAGGTCCCATCGGCCTTTTTGGGCACACTGCTGGCTCATGGCCACCTTCTGGCCACCAGGACTCCCAGGTTCTTCTCTGCAGAGCCCCTGTGCAGCAGCTCAGCCCCGACTGTACTGCTGCTGTGGCTGTTCCTCCCCAGCTGTAGGATCCTACACTTGGCCACGTTGGATGCTCTCAGGTTCCTCCCATCCCAGCTCTCAGGCCGGGTCCCCATGGGCCTGGGCACCAGTGAGGCAGTTCTGCTCAGCAGTTTGCTTGCTAAGAGCTCCTTTTTGGACCTCAAACCAGGCTGTTCCCACTGATGGAAGTTCAATGCTGAGCACATCTGCAGGACGGCCCCATCTGCTGCTGCTGCTGCTGCTGCTATTCCTGTCTCTGCTGTGTTCCTGGAGACTGGGGAGGGAAACACAGACACTGAGAGCCATTTGTGCCTCATCTTTTGGGAACATCCATTAGCACTGATGCTTCCCAGTCCCCCGAGTGGCCCATCGTGCAGATAAGTTCACATCAGAGCACATCCCTCTGCTAATGTGCTGCTGAGCTGTAGGTCCATCTGTGCCCATGGCACAATGCAGTGCTGCACTCCATCGTGGAGCTCATTGCATGCAAAGGGCTCAGAGGGTGGCTTTGTCCACTGCCAGCATCAGAAAGCACAGCTCTGCTGTGAGCAAAAGCCAGTGGGAAGGGAAAATGCAATGGTAGTGCACGCTTGGAAATTGCCTTGAGGATAAATCTCCTATGAAAGGAATTCTGCATCATAGCATGGGGAAAATTCTCCTTTAAATAGAGATATTTGGGTGGTTTGGAATTCTTATGGCCGTACTGTGGGAGAGCTTCAGCAATGAGCTCAGGGCAGAGAGCGTGGGTTTATCTGAAAGCTTGGAACGCCTTGGCAGAAACCTCTGTTAATTGGGAAGAAAAACACTGGAGTTTCTCAACAGAGCTGTAAATTGAAAATAAACCTTTTCCAAGAAGAGAGCCAACATCATGGCTGCTGAGAGGCCAGATTTGTTGTCGATTGCTGTCCGGGTGCCAAGGATGAGCCTGCAGAGCAAGGGTTCTTGGGTCTGCATCCTTGATCTGTGCCCTGCTCATGGGCTTTGTGCATCCTTGTTTTGTGCTCTGCTCTGTGCTCAGTGCATCCTTGCTCTGTGCTCTTGCTTCTGTGCATCTTTGTTTTGTGCTCTGCTGTGCATCCCTGTTTTGTGTTCCGTTCATGGGCTCAGTGCATCTTTGCTCTGAGCTCTGCTCTGTGCATCCCTGTTTTGTGCTCCGCTCTGCTCTGCACATCTTTGCTCTGTGGTCTGCTCTGTGCTCAGTGCATCCTTGCTCTGTGGTCTGCTCTGTGCTCAGTGCATCCTTGCTCTGTGCTCTGCTCTGTGCATCCCTGTCTTGTGCTCTGCTCTGCTCTGCACATCCTTGCCCTGTGCTCTGCTCTGTGTGCAGTGCATCCTTGCCCTGTGCTCCGTTCACAGCTTCTGTGCGTCCTTGCGTTGTGCTCCACTCTGTACTCAGTGCTTCCTCTGTGCTCTGCTCATGCAGAGACCCTAATTGCTCTCTGCATCCTTGCTCTGTGCCCTGCTCTTAGGCTCAGTGCATCCTTGCTGGGTGCTCTGCTGTGTGCTCAGTGCCCCCATTCTCCCTGCTCTGCTCGTGCTGCACACATCCCTGGGCTGAGCACGCTACAAGCTCAGCGTTTGCTGCGGGGCTGCAGAACAGCCCCTGCGTGCTGCACAGAGCCAGGTTTGTGGCTGAGGATTGTTTTTCCCTTTTGTCTGTGCCCATTGGGGTGTGGCGGGCAGGAGCAGCCACAGCTGAGGTGGCTCCATCTGTGACCATTTCCTTTCAGCACGGTGAGCTTTCTCAGCCTTCCAGCTGTGGTGGCCGCTGGCGCAGTGTGAACAGGAGGGGGCCGATGGCGCAGCCACCAAGGGCTCCTGTGCACGGCGCCCCCTGCTCCTCACGGCTCCCATCTCCCTGTCCTGCAGGCTGCAGAAGGCCCAGGAAGAGCATCGCTCCGTGGAGGTGGAGAAGGTGCACCTGGAGAAGAAGCTGCAGGACGAGATCAGCATCGCCAAGCAGGAGGCGCATCGGCTGCGAGAGCTGCGGGAGGGCACTGAGAATGAGCTGAGCAGGCAGAAGTATGCAGAGCAGGAGCTGGAGCAGGTGAGGGGCAGCCCGTGGTTGCACAAACACACACACGTGGCATGCCATAGGAGCAGCATGCAGCCAGCACTGAGCCTGCCTGCCATCGAGCCCGGTGCCGTGCTGCTCCTAACACCTTTTTGCCTTTGCTTTTTCCCACCTCGTGGAGGAAAAGATCAGAGAATCACAGAATGGTTTGAGCTGGAGGGGATTCCTGGGGGCCCCCAGAATCACTGAATGGCCAGGGTTGGAAGGATCATGAAGCTCCAACCCCCCTACTGTATGCAGGGCCACCAACCTCCCGATTTAATGCCAGACCAATAGTAGACCTGGTGCCACTGCCTGCAATGAGCACAGCTCCATCAGCGCTCAGAGCCACCTGACGTCACCTGGCCCTTCCATCACATCCCTGCAGTGACTGGGGGAGAGGTGGTGGCTGTGGAGCTGCCCCACAGGGCAGGAATGCTGCCTGGCCTGCAGCTGCACCCCACCATCCCCTTCCAAAGCACCAGCCTTCAGATTTCTCTCTTCTCCATCTGTGGGTTTAGGAGAGATGTGGGGCAGCTTTGTTGTTCTGCCGTTGGCTCCAGAGATGTCCAAAGAGAACTTCCTTCCAAATGAATCTGGAAATGCAGACCTGGGGAGAGTTTTGCGTGTGATGCTGGCAGCAGTGATGTGCGAGCGATGCATTTGTGTGGCACTGTTTGAGTAATGCATCACAGGTCAGAGAAAGGGCTTCCAATGCGACATCTAAAAGCCCAGGGAGCCCCAACAAGGGCTGGAGGGAAGAGATGAAAATAAACAGCATTGCTAATGGTGGCTCAGCAGCAGGGAGCGAAGGGAGGAGTGGGAGCTGTGCCTCAGAACCACCTGGTGCCCAAACCTGCAAAGCTTTACAGCCCAAAGCACAAATGCAGCTGCCCCTCCGTTTCACCCGAGGGAAAGCTGTGCTGTGACCTGATGTGATCACAGATCGCTTCCAACAGAAATAATGTGAGGCAGCACCGTGTGCCCCACAGTGCAGTGAGGTGTTTGTGTGCCCCAACCCGGCCCCCATCCGCTCCACCTGGGAGGAGGAAGGAGAGGAAAGCAGAGCCCAGGCATTGCACTGGGTGGGGAGAGGTCAGCGCTCCGCCAGCAGGGAGCCATGCGGCAAGATTCCTTCCTCCTCTTGGTTGGAGTGAGAGCAGTTCTGACGCCCTCAGGCCCCATCCAGGATCCCAGTTTGTCCCACAACCTCTCCACGAACGCACTGAGCTTCAGTGCCCAGCTGCACAGCAGCGCTGGGGCCGTTCTATGGGGTGCACAGCTCTCCAAGCCTTCCTGTCCCACCTGCTGCCAACTCGAGGGCACTCATCCGTTCCACCACTCCTGCCCTCGGGAAAGCTGCCAGCCAGAGGTGACTTCCCCTCTCTGTTGTTTCTCAGAGGCCTTCATGAGGGATGCCTCCAAAGGGTGAGTACTGGCATCGTCCTCCTGCCCCCACCGTGTGCCTGTAACACAGCCACCATCCCAGTGTCGCCCACACACAGTAACCCATCACCCCACTGACTGTAGAACTCGTCTGGTTGTTTGATGCTGTGGATATTAAACCCAGAGTTTCTTTTGCACCCGTTGGTTCTTATGACTAAAATGGTTCTGTGGGGTTGGGAGCTCGTGCTGGAGCACAGCAAGTGGTGCTGAGACCTCAGTGTTTGGGGCTGGGCTGCTTGCAGCAAATCCGTCCTCAATGGGTCCTGCTGTGCCCAAGGGGTGACCACGCAGCACAGGGTCAGAAGGCACTCATTGCTTTATGAAGTGCCACTTGGTGGTCGGGATGGGACCTTGGAGGTCATCACAGGGGAGCATACACCATATAAGCCCTGTTTGGGTTCGTTCCCTGTGATGGATGTGATGCACACAGCACGTAGTAGGCAGCAGGCAGCAGGCAGCAGATATCACAGCACGGCCTGGGCTGCAAAGGAGCACAGCGCTCATCCAGCTCCAACCCCTGCTGTGTGCAGGTCACCAACCAGCAGCCCAGGCTGCCCAGAGCCACATCCAGCCTGGCCTTGAATGCCTGCAGGGATGGGGCATCCACAGCCTCCTTGGGCACTGCGTGGGGTCGGTGTGAGCCAAATGTTGGACCAGCCCTGGCTCCTGTTTGCCCCCCATTGCCCCATTCCATTGGTGCAGCACAGCAGCCATTCCCTTTCCCATAACACAGCACTGCTGCCTCTCCTCAGGTCCGAATGGCTCTGAAGAACGCCGAGAAGGAGCTGGAATCACACTGCAGCTGGGCTGCCCCCGAGGCCCTGCAGAAGTGGCTGCAGCTGACCCACGAGGTGGAGGTGCAGTACTACAACATCAAGAAGCAGAACGCGGAAAAGCAGCTCCTGGTGGCCAAGGAAGGGGTGAGCATCTCAGCATCCTGCTCTGAGATCTGCCCATCGCTGCCTGGGGGAAGGTTTGGGAATGGAAGCTGCACGGTGTGTTCTGTGCCCTCACACCATGTGCACAGCCCCTGTTCTGGCTGTCCTACGTGCTCAGGCAGTACCGTTTCTTATGAGCACACGCACTGTAGCAATGAATCACCCTCTCTGTATTCCCAGTCGTTCCAAGCTTTCCGTGCCAGCCGAGGAGCTGAGAGCTGCAGGGGAGCTGCTGTAACATGCATTCAGCTCTGTGGATGTGTGCAGAAGCCAGAGCTGACAGCTCACAGGACTCCCTCTGCCCTACTGCACTGTTATGATGGACGTGACATGTGATAGTTCTATCCTTAGAAAGGCCAGGGCAGGCTCTGGGAGAGCCTTTCTCTGCATGGAGCAGTTGCTTTGGGTCCCTCTGGGGTGCTGCAGGGCTGGGGGTGCAGGGCAGCATCTCCCTGCTCAGCCCATGGGCTGGGGGTCACCCTCCTGTCCTGAAACACATTTCACACCATTCACACCTGTGCCAGCAGCTGCAGGGCTATTTCTGTCACAGCCCCTCCAGGATGTTCTTGTCCAGGAGGAAACACAAGGTCCTCGTCTTCCTCTGACCTTTCCTTCTTTCTGTTAACATTCCAGGCTGAAAAAATTAAGAAGAAGCGCAACACTCTGTTTGGAACATTTCATGTTGCTCACAGCTCGTCTCTAGATGACGTTGATCATAAAATCTTAACTGCAAAGTGAGTGTCTCCTCAAGTCCTCCCGTCCCTGCTTCTCCTATGAGGAAAGGCTGAGGGAACTGGGCTTGTTTGGCTTGGAGAAGAGAAGGCTGCAGGGAGACCTGATGGTGGCCTTCAGTGCTTGAAGGGAGAGGATAAACAGGAGGGGGAATGGCTGTGTGTGAGGGTGGGTGGTGACAGGACAAGGGGAATGGCTTGAAAGTGAGCCAGGGGAGGTTTGGGTTGGATGTGAGGAGGAAGTTTTGGAGGCAGAGGGTGGTGAGGCAGTGGCACAGGTTGCCCAAGGAAGCTGTGGATGCCCCATCCCTGCAGGCATTGGAGGCCAGGCTGGATGTGGCTCTGGGCAGCCTGGGCTGCTGGTTGGCAACCTGCACACAGCAGGGCTTGGAGCTGGATGAGCGCTGTGCTCCTTTGCAGCCCAGGCCATGCTGTGATTCCATGATTCCCAGCCCTGCTGTGGCTGGCCCCGCTCCCACCCACCAGTGCCCTGTGTGTGTGTGAGACCGATCCATACCCACACAGAGCCCCGAATCCCACAGAAGCAGCCTTTCATAGCACTGTAAAACAGCTTGGGCTCGTGCTTTCCCTTCAAGCCCTCCTGCTTTGCTTGCAGGCAGGCACTGAGCGAGGTGACGGCAGCGCTGCGTGAGCGCCTGCATCGCTGGCAGCAGATCGAGCTGCTCTGCGGCTTCCAGATCGTCAACAACCCCGGCATCCACACGTTGGCATCCGCCCTCAACATCGACCCGGGTTGGATGGGCACCCCGAGGCCCAACCCGTCCCACTTCATCATGACCGACGATGTGGACGACCTGGATGAGGAGATCGTGTCTCCCATGTCCATGCAATGTATGCAGCCGTGGGGAAGCGCCGCATCGAGCTGGGGGTGGAGGGGGAGCAGAGAAGGGAACTGTAGGATTGGTGATGTTGGGGGAGCTGAGAGGGGCTGCGTTGGTGTTGAAGGATGGCAGGGAGGTGGGTGGGCGCCCGGGTTGGCGCTGCTCACATCCTTGGAGGAAAGGCAGAGCCTGGGGCAGCGCGTGCCTCTCGCTCCCGGGTTGCTGAGATGTTGGGTTGCATCTCTTCATATGGGAGGACTTTGTGAATCAGCCCTGGCTGCAGCACCCACACTCACACGGGGCCTCGCTTCTCCTCCCAACGTGCAAAGTCCACCTGCAGCTTCCTATCTGTAGTTGTGTGAGAGGGAAGGGAAGCCTTGGCAGGAGCAGCGCTGAGAGCAGAGCAGCCCGTGCTGACGGCACTGGATGCAGCAAGCTTTCTAGTTGGCCTCCTTCGGGTGATTTGCTGCTCAGGTCCTCCTCAGCGCTGGGTCTGTAAGTGGCAGGAGGTGGGAGGAGGAGCAGAGGAGCCCTGTGCTGTCCTGTTGGTGCCCATCAACTCTTGGGAAGGGGAGATGGCAGCAGGACAAGGGGAAATGGTTTGGAGTTGAGGGAGGGCAGCTGGAGGTTGGATGTCAGGGGGAAGTTGTTTAGAGAGAGAGTGGTGAGGTGCTGGAACAGCTGCCCAGAGAGGCTGTGATGCCCCGTCCATCCCTGGAGGTGTTGGAGGCCAGGTTGGATGGGGCCCTGGGCAGCCTGGGCTGCTGTGAGATGGGGAGGTTGGTGGCCCTGCATTGGTGGGGGGTTGGAGCTTCGTCATCCTCGAGCTCCCTTCCAACCCAAACCACTCTGTGATGCTGTAATCTTCCCTCCCCTGGGTTCAGCCCTGCTCAGGGACGGGGAGGGACCAAAGGTTTGGAGCAGGGCAGCAGCACAGAGCACCCAGAGGTGAAGAGAGATCTGCAGCAGCTGGGAAGGCTGCAGGAGGGATGGACTGTGGGCATTCCATGGGATCAACAGGTGCAGGGTGTGGATCTTTGGGCACATGTGTTTTAGGAGGAAGTTTTTCACACACAGGGTGGTGAGGCAGTGGCACAGGTTGCCCAAGGAGGCTGTGGATGCCCCATCCATCCCTGCAGGCATTCAAGGCCAGGCTGGATGTGGCTCTGGGCAGCCTGGGCTGCTGGTTGGCGACCTGCACACAGCAGGGCTTGGAGCTGGATGAGCATTGAGCTCCTTTGCAACCCAGGCCATGCCATGGCTCCGTGGTTCTGTGATCAAGCAGCAGCAGGATGCTCAGGGCTGCTGCTCCCCACAGTCACATCTTTCTCTTCCCCCCACCTCCCCCAGACGCAGCCTGGCTCTTTGGGCGCAGGTTCAGCGATCGCTCGTCTCTGTCCTCGGAGGATCAGTCCCTGTGGAAATACCCTGGTTTGGTTCTTTTTAATTATATCCACTTTATTTTGTTCTATTCTCTGCCCTTTTTCTGGACTAAAAATACATCCGCAGATTTTCCAACTTTCTGGCACGGAACAACTAACAGATGTACCTCTGTACATGGAGTCACCCTCACTAACACCAGGGAGGAGCCTGGTGGGATGAGGAAGAACCACAGCTGGCTGCACCCTGAGGGTTTGGGTTTAGAAAGCAAAAACCCATTGGGCAGCTGCTGGGCAGTCGGAGTGTTGCTGTGGGTGGCTGAGGGGATCTTCCCTCACAGTGCCTTCCCCAGAGCTGTGTGGAATGAAATATGCTGAGCAGTGCTGTGTGCTGTGCCAGTCTGTCCCCAGGCTCTGATCCTGGGCTGAAGGCTGTGAACAGGATGATTGTCTGCTATAGGATGGGGGGATGCTGTGGATGCCCCATCCCTGCAGGCATTCAAGGCCAGGCTGGATGTGGCTCTGGGCAGCCTGGGCTGCTGGTTGGTGACCTGCACACAGCAGGGCTTGGAGCTGGATGAGCGCTGTGCTCCTTTGCAACCCAGGCCATGCTGTGATTCTGTGATGTGAGGCTGTGCTGCAGCAGGGAGGGCAGGGCTCAGCTTTTGGTCCCACACTCATTGCAAGGAAAAGGAGAGCGCAGAGCTGTAGGGTGCCAAGCTGGTAAGTGGGAATAACAGCAGGAGAGACCTCATGGGGAAAAGGTGTATCCCAGGACAAGCAGATACCCATGGAATCACACTGGAGAAGAACCACCAATGTGAAAATAAAGCTGCCTGAGTGATGCTTGCTGTTCCTTCTCCCACTCGAGGTGTCCCTGCAGGGATCCTGCATTGCTGCCAGCAGAGCAGCAGGAGGATCTGATGTCCCTGAGGGATGTTAAGGCAGTGATGTGCTGGTTCTTCGATTCCCACAAGAGCTCTCCTTCTGCCTCACTTCTGAGCTTTCCTCTCTGTTCACCTCCGTAACCGATTGCACATTTACTCCTCATGCTGTGTATGTCACCCTGAACACCTTATCTCCTGCAGAAGGGGAACACCTCGTGTGGATGTGAGAGAATGGACTGCATGCTCTGCTCCAAAATCTGCAGCGTAGGGTTTGGGGCACAGCTGAGGGACTGAGCTCCCTGGCCATGTGTGACTTCAGTGACGCCCTTTGGGACCAGCCCTGTAATATCCATCCCCTGTAATCCCAGCTGTGATGGCACCTGACAAAGGCCCCATCCCTGGAGGTGTTCAAGGCCAGGTTGGATGAGGCCCTGGGCAGCCTGGGCTGCTATGAAATGGGGAGGTTGGTGGCCCTGCATGGCACAGGGGGGTTGGAGCTTCGTGATCCTTGAGCTCCCTTCCAACCCAAACCATTCTGTAACGCTGGGATTAGCACCCAGCTCCCACGTCTGCCACAGAGGGCACGGAGCTGAGCATCCCTGGGCTGCAGAGGAATGGGACAGCCCAGCCATGGGGTATGAGGGGGTCAGTGCCTGTGCTGGGGGAACCAACGTACCCCAAACGTGCTGCTGTGCTGCAGAGGAGCCCAGCAGGGAGCAGCCAGGTGGGCTGGGCATGGTGAGGACGGTCAGATAGGGTGTTCAGAAAGCAGCCGAGTTGGGAATGTTGGGCACAGCTTCTCACCAACAGCCATTAACGCGGCATGTGAAGCAGCAGCACCAACCTAACGCTTCTGCTCCAAAGCAGCGCTGCTGTTGGGCTCCCATCTCGGAGCAGCGCTGTGTCTCGGGGTCGCATCTCAGAGCGTTCAGCCCCTCTCCCTTCTCTCCTTGCAGCTCCTGCTTTGCCCAGCACCGTTCGCCAGCGCCTGGTGGACCCCCAGCACGGCCACGGATCTCAGAGGTTGGTAGAGAGTTACGTGCACAGCCAGCATGAGCCGGGCCAGCCTGCCCAGCACCCGGCGGGCCGAATGCCCCTCCGTCGAATGCACAGCCTCTCCTCCGGACAGCCTTTCAGTTCTGACCTTCCTGGCACCGCTCCGTCATCCACCACAGCCACCTCTTGCTCCTCATCCGCCACTCCTGCACCTGCTTCCCATGTCCACCCTCTCTATCACCATCACACCACCTCTTATTTCCTTCAGATGGACTCCAACCCCGATCTGCCCCCTCCTGATGTCACCTCTGGAGCTCGCTGTGGCACTGAGAGCTTTGGGTATATGCCGTTTCTTTTCTCGCTCCCTCCCTCCTGCTGTGTCCCAGGGCTGCTGCTTGCAGGGCTGCTTTCTCTCTTCCATCCCTCCCCGCTTTCCTTTGGGGTCTCTGCATTGTGGTTTACCCATAGCTGTGTTTCCTCCCCCCCTCCATCCCCTCTCAGGGGTCCCAGGGAGCGCTCTGCTGTCCATTCCCATCCCCGTGAGCTCAGCTGTGGGTAAATCCAGGGGTGCTGGATTGGCTCTGGGGCACTCAGACCGTGGCTGGGGGCTGCAGATGAGGGGATGCAACCCACTGAGCAAACACTGACCTTGCAGGAAGCCTTTGTGCGTTGGAGGGCTTGCAAAGGAAACAAGGTGGGTGCATTGCTGTGAGCTCGCATTGGAGCTGCTGGGCGCTGTGAGCTCAGTGCTGACAGGACCTGGAGATCCACTGCGTTGTGCTTCCAGCTGAGGGACCTCTGAGCAGCAGCAGTGCAAGGCAAGGGGAAATGGCTCGGGACAAGGGGGAGTGGTTTGGAGTTGAGGGAGGGCAGCTGGAGGTTGGATGTCAGGGGGAAGTTGTTTAGAGAGAGAGTGGTGAGGTGCTGGAACAGCTGCCCAGAGAGGCTGTGATGCCCCGTCCATCCCTGGAGGTGTTGGAGGCCAGGTTGGATGGGGCCCTGGGCAGCCTGGGCTGCTGTGAGATGGGGAGGTTGGTGTCCCTGCATTGGTGGGGGGTTGGAGCTTCGTCATCCTTGAGCTCCCTTCCAACCCAAGCTATTCTGTGATGCTGTGAGGCAGAGCTCCATGTTCCCAGATCTCAGGCTGCTGTTCAGTGCCTCTCAGGTGAGGACTGGGGGCTCTTTGGGGCCCTCTGCCCACACCGCAGCCATTGTCACCCCACATCTTCTCCTGCACCGAGCTGTGTGTGGGTACAGCTGAGCCGGGCAGCATCCTGCAGTGGGGCAGAGCAGGGGATGCTCACAGGGGGCAGGAGGTCCTGTGTCACCCTGCTGGGCACCCTGTGTCTGTTGGGAGCTGCAGCGAGGCCCCCAGGTCTGGGGGGCTGCAGTGGTCACCGTGCCCCATGGACCCCCCTCCTGGAGCTGCCCCACGGCTGTGCTGCATTGCCTTGTTCTGTGCTGGGCTTTGGGAAGGGAGCTGATGGGAGCAGGCTGGAGGGGTCCTGGCGGGTTGGGCAGGGCTGTGCTGCTCCCACTGACCTGCACTGACAGGCAGCCATCCCAAATCAGCCACCTCCATCTGCCCCGTGCTGTGCAGCACACTGCAGGGCCTGGCATCGTGGTGCAGCATGGGGTGCTGTGGTGTGGGGTGCTGTGGTGTGGGGTGCTGCACTACAGGGTGCTGCACCTCAGCAGGCTCTAAGCCCTAGGCTGTACCTCTCAATGGGGGACACAGGGAGGCACCAGTTTTGCTGCAGAAAACCACAGCGCAGAGTCCAAAAGCAGCATCGTGGTTTGCTGGGCAGTGTTTGTTTGGGGATTAGGAGAAGCAGCGTAATTAAAATGCCACTTAATTAATTACTGCCAATTTGGGTCCGACGGAGGCTCTCCTGGCCCTGGGATTGCTCCCAGCTGCCCTAACCTGGCTCTGCAACCAGCAAACAGCTGAGTGCTGTGCTGTGCTGTGCGCTGCTGAATGGCTGTGTGGGTCGGTGCTGAGGGGCTGCAGAGGGAACCCAATTAGAACAGGTCATTAGCAGGGAGTCGTGGCTGGCTTCTCACATTCCCCTCCATCACTCAGAGCTAATCAGAGCTAATTGCTGCTCGCTGCTTGCTCTCTGTCCCCAGTGGTGCAGCACTGTAGTCCTGCAGAGCACGAATGGTTGGTTGGGCAGGTTGGATGGGGCTCTGGGCAGCCTGGTCTGGTATTAGATATGGAGGTTGGCAGCCCTGCACACTGCAGGGGGGTCGGAGCTTTGTGATCTTTGAGGTCCCCTTCCAACCCATGGCATTCTATGGTTCAGCTCTGCAGGAGCAGAGCCCTAAATCCACGCTCTGCCTCTGTTTGTCCTGGAAAGCAGTGATGGAGAACTGGGCGAAGTGGAGCTGTTGCTTTGCTGTTACCAACAAGCTGCATCTGTAGCAGCTCAGCGCTCCTGGGCAGGAGGGATTTGGGAATGCAGGGTCGGCTCAGCCCACGTGGCTGTGCTGGGGGGTGAGGAGGGCTGCCCAGAGCCCTGGCAGGGAGCTCTGCCATCCAGCAACCACTCACTGTTTGCTTCTCTTTTGCAATTGGCTTCAGAGGATCCGGTGCGAATAAGGTCAGAGCTGGTGTGAGTTGGGAGGCTGATGTGTGTCTGTCCGTGTCACCAAGGGATCTGGAGGGGCTGCAAGGCTGCCTGCACAGGGCTCTGTGTGTGTGCATAGGGCTCTGTGTGTGTGCACAGGGCTCTGTGTGTGCATAGGGCTGTGTGTGTGTGCACAGGGCTCTCTGTGCACAGGGGTTTCTGCTCACCGGTGCCGGCTCTCCATGGTAGCAGTGGGGAACGGGGCAGGTTGGGCTGTGAGACCCCAACTAGGAGGGGAGGCAGCAGCTGAGGCAAAAGCAGAGGGGCTGCAGTTTGCTCTGTGTCAGAGCAGCGCTGAGCACAGCAGCCACACGCTGCAGCAGGAGCTCATCCCGCAGACTGCAGGGCTGAGCAGCCCGTATTTCTTTTCTCTTGTCCTCCCATCCTCTCCTCTCTTCCTCCATCCCCACCAGCCCTTCCTTCTGCCATGGTTCGCTCTCTGCTTCTTTTGCTCACCGAATGCAGCACATCCACATCTCCCTGCTGGCTCCCATTCCTCGCGGGCGGTTTGGATTCCTGAAGCAGTGATGGAGGAGGCGCAGATGGGAGCAGGGAGGGCAGATGGAGCAGAGCAGAGCGCGGCTCCTGCCTGCAGGCTGTTTAAATCTGCCCCAGCCCATCGGTGTGAGCACAGCCAGCTGCACACAAAGGAAACGCCAGAGGTGCCCGGGTCTCTCCGTGCTCAGATCTGAGTTCAGGAAAGGCAGCAGGTGGTGGCTTTGCCATAGCACAGGAATGCTCAGCAGCACCTTCCAGCTCTGTGCTCTGCACCCAGCCCTGGCAGCTCGCTGTCCTCACAGCTGCAGGCAGCATTTCCTGTGGAAAATCTATGGGCAGCAGCAGGAACTGTGCCAGCCCTGTCAGCTGAGCCTCAGCTCTGTGTCCTCTGTGCCAGCCCTCTTTCTTGGCAGGGCAGCGTGTGCCTGGTGTCACATCCCCACAGACAGCACCACTGTCACATCCCCACGGCTACTGCTTGGTGTCACATCCCCCACGTGGCCCTGCTGTCACATCCCCACGGATGGTGCTTGGCTTGGTCACATCCCCATGGACAGCCCTGATGTCACATCCCCACAGACGGCCCTGGTCTTACTTGCCTGTGGACAGCCCTGGTGCCACATGCCCATGGATACTGCCTGATGTCACATCCCACAGATGGTCCTGGTGTCACATCCCCATGGATGGTGCTTGGTGTCACATCCCTATGGATACCACCTGGTGTCGCATCCCCACGGACAGCCTCAGCATCACTTCCTTATGCGAGCCCTGGTCTCACATCCCCATGGATAACCCTGATCTCACATCCCTGTGCACAGCTCTGGCCCCAGGACCATGCTGGGCTCCTTCCTCCTGCCCACAGTTTGCACTCCACCGATCAGGGGGGCATTCCACAGTGCTGACAGCAGTAGAACCACAGCAGTGGCCCCTCGGTGCCACCAGTGGTGGTGACACGCTGAGGTGACATCCCTGCCTGTGTCCTCGGCATCACCCCTGCTGTGAGCACAGAGCAGCTGTCCCGGCTCAGGTTTCCATCGCGTGCAGTTGGAGGCAGAGCGCCCTGCGGCCCCACAGGACGTTCCCCGCCTGCTGGCTGTGATGTTGTGGCTGCTGTTGTCTCATGGGTTAAGAACAGCCCCTCGGAGCAGAGGCTCTGCATCGCCTCGTGGGTGCTGCGTCAGCTCAGGGGTGCTGTGTCACCTCGCGGACGCTGCAGGGTGCAGCTCCTATTCTTGCTGCAGAATCCCTCTCGTTTGAAAGGACATCTCTTGCACCAGACACCTCGGTGCTTACAAAGCCTGGGTGGGCTTTAGAAGAGCAGGATGCTTGGTGCCCTTATCGCTTCGAGGTGCAGAGCAGCAGGCGTTGCAGCTGAGCTCACTTCTTGCAGGCTGCAGTGGCTGACAATGTTTGGGTGAACTTCATGGAGCTTTGAAGGCTGGAAAGACCCCCACGATCCCCAGCCCACCCCGCTGTGCCCACTGCCCACATCCCTCACTGCCCCACCTGAGCACCGCCAGGGATGGTGACCCCCCTATCCTTGGGTAGCCGTGCCGGTGCATTGCCACTCTTTCCAAGAGGAAATTTTCCTCATCCCCAACCCCTCGTCCCCAACCTGACCCCGTTGTTACGCAGGGCTCAGCCCCACATCCGTGTTCTTTTCCATGGCTTTGTTCCCAAATACTTTTGTTACCATTGCAGAGCTCTGTGCTGTGAGGGCTGCCCCACCATTGGCACAGTGCTGTTGGGTGACCCACAGCGACCTGCTTGTGGCTTCTCCCATCTGTGCCCCTTCATACAGTGCTGCCGTGTCCATTGGGGACACCTGGGGACACCACGCCATGATGTGTCCTGAGGGGCAGAGGGTGTGGGGCAGCAGTGCGCAGCTCCGTCCATTGAGGACATGGGTCAGTGGGGGCAGTGGGAGAGCGCTGTGGCTTCCCCTGCCCTGTGGACCCCTTCCCCACTTTGGAAAGAAGCCGTTCAGGGCAGCAGAGCAGCATTGCATTGCTTTTGGCACTGCAGGAGGAAGGCACCGGGGGGGGGGGGGGACCAAACCCCGGGGGGGGGGGGGGGGGCGGGGGGCACGGGCTGGGCTGCAGCCCCCCACGGGGCCGGGGTCGGTCCATGGGTGCAGGGCTGGGCTGAGGGCCGGGGGGGCTTGGACCCAGCTGCAGGGCTGGGGCTGCACTCCTGAGCTCAGGGCTGCTGCCATGAGTCAGGGGTCTCCATGCCACGGCTGCGCTCCGACCATGCCTGCGCCCTGCGTGCGGCTGATGGCGCCCCATCCTGGGTCCCTGCAGCACCCGCGAGGACGGAGCTCAGGGAAGGTGCAGGCCCAGCTCCCATCCCTCTGCTGTGGTGCCACCCGCTCGGTCCGGGTGCTGCTAACCGTCCGTCCATCCTCTCCATGCAGAGACCTGACGCGCTGCGACTCCGAGTCGTCCATCCCGCACCTGAGCGAAGCCCAGCGCCTGCCCAGCGCTGCTCCCAAGCTGCTGGCCGCCCGGCCCGCTCTGCTCACCCGATCCATCGAGGATGCCGGATCCGGGCACACCCCAAACGGAGGCAGCCGACACGCGGAGCCCCCCGGCCCGGAGCGACCGTCCGAGAGCCCCTCGGTGATGAAGAAGATGATGATGGTGAACCACGGCATGGAGAAATCCTCCAGCCTGGGGGAGATCGGCCACCCGGCGGCCTCCAAGCACAGCCACTCGGATTCCTCGCGGTCGCACAGCCCCAGCTCCACCGACCCCGACACCCCGTCCCCCATCTCTGACTGCCGGCCCAACAGCTCCAAGAGCACCCGCATCCCGCAGCTGGCTGCCAAGAAGGGCGCAGGGGATGAGGACGGCAGCCTGACGGGCGACGAGATCGACCCGGGCCAGAGCAAGAAAAAGTTCCCCCTAAAGATCTTCAAGAAGCCCAGGAAATAGAGGGGGAGGGCGGAGGAACCCCACGGAGCGACCCGCTGGCACCGGGGGAGCGCGCCCGGCCCCGGGCATTGGGATCCACGTCCCTGCGGCGAGAGGAGCTATTTAAACTTATTTATTGGCCGGGCTGAGAAGCCAGAAGGCATCTGCACCCCCCAAAGGCGACAGCCGCCCTGTCTCACCCTCCCTCCCCGTCGCTGTAGTCCCCGGCTTTGCTGTGCATGGCTTCCAGTTATCCGCCTCCGCTCGGCCACACGGCGTATTTGGGTTTGGTTTCAATGAGCTTTTATTTGTATTTTTCTATTTTGTACCTTTTCTTTTTTCAGTTCTTCTGCCTCCGCCGCCCTGCGCACAGTCGGGGCGCTGGGGGTCGGGGGGGGCAGGTTGGGGGGATGGATGCCCTCCTGGCTCCCGATGGGCAGAGCACTCTGAGCCCCCTCCCCGTGGTGCTGCGCTGCCCAGCAGCGTTATCCCGCTCGCACCCAGCAGTGCTGCCCGCTGGGGTCGCTGGGGTCACCGGGGATGGAGCTGGGGCTCAGCAGCCGCCCGTAGCTCCGTCTGCCTGCCTGGAGAGGGCCGGGTTGGGCTCAGCTTCAGGGCTGGGGACGGCGCAGATGGATGGCCACACCGTGGGGTGGGCTGTGTGCCCCACATACGGGATGAGCGGAGGCCCAGCAGGTCCTGAGGCTGCTGGAGCTGCTGTGCTCAGGGCTGATCTCTGCCCTGGCGCTCACTGCCCTGCCCGGCCCCCCGCACAGCACCGCTATGGGGGGCGGCTGCTGCCCCGAGGCCGACCCAGAGCACAGAGGTGAGGGGATGCCGGCAGCCTCTGGGGCCGTGCTTTGTGCCAGAGTGACACGTCCACATCCATCGCCAAGACGGGAAGGGCTGTAAAGGTGTTTTTTCGTTCCGTAGGTGGTAGTTAGACAATGACGCTGTTGCTTTGAGATAAGTGAAAATTTCCTCTCAGTGACTTTTAAGTGCCTGCAGTGCCCAAGGCTGAGCTCCGGGCGCTGCTCCCGGAGGGGGGGGGGGGGGGGGTACGAAGAACCACGGAGCGGAACTGGTGGTGACGCCTCTGCCAACTCGATTTATTTTATTTTTGGGCCATTTCATAAAACTTTTAAATCCAATAAAGCATGTAGTCTATTTTACGAGCAGGCGCCTGCTGTGCTCTCTATTCCTGCCCTGCAGAGGTGGAATCCCGGCTGGGAGGGTCGAGGCAGGGCTGGGTGCCCGCAGGAAGGATGGATGGACACCGGGACCGGGCTGAGGACGCCATCCAGGAGCGCCCGGGCAGCCTCCAAGGAAGGCTGTGCCACGTGGGCTCATCCCCACCTGTCCTGTCCAGCAGTGTGTGGGGATGGCAAGCTGGAAAGGAGCCCCTGAAGCTCCACGCTCACCCTTGGGCCATCCCAGCCCCGGGCTCAGGATGTGCACAGGGCCACGCAGAGGCGGCTGCTGTGGGCAGAACGCTGCCAGCCCCACTGGGTCCATGCAGCTGCCCCAAAGCGCTCAGAGGAGATGGTGCCCACAAGGGCCAGCAAGGGACTGGAGCGCAGCCCTCACCGCCAGCCCTGCTCATAGAGAGTCCCTTGGAGGCGCCTGTTGGAGCTCACAGAACGTTTCCAGGAAAGAGGATTAAAATCCACGCTGGGATCAGTGATCACCAACCTCTGGGACGCGTCTCCACGGCGCTGCCCAGCGCCGGTTCAGCTCTCGCTGTGCGGCGGTGTGGTGAAGTCGCTGCTGCTCAGGGTGATGGTGAAAGGCACCTCGATGATGGCCTCGGTGCTGGCAGCAGCCCTCCCCCAGGAGTGGAGGGGCTGCATGGCTTTCTGGAAGCGCTGCGGGGGTGCAAGGGTGGGAAACTGCTGCACAGTTGTCCAGCCCCCACTCTGCATCCAGACCTCGTGGCTTCAGCCCCTTTTCTCTCTTGGGGAGGGGAGAGCATCACCCCTGGTCTGTTACTGCCCTCTCTGTCCCTGTCTCCAGCAGTGGGTCAGCCCCTGCTCTGCCCCCGTCACTGTTCCCATCCCCATCTCAACCCCATCCCCATGTCTGCATTCCTGTCTTTCTCCCCATCCCCATCCAATCCCCATCCCAACCCCATCCCACCCCCATCCCATCCCCATCCCAACCCCATCCCCTTCCCCATCCCCATCCCCATCCCCATCCCCATCCCCGTCCCCATCCCAACCCCATCCCCTTCCCCATCCCCATCCCCATCCAATCCCCATCCCAACCCCATCCC